CCACTCGCGCATCCATCGGTGCCAGAAGTGACGTACAAGTTCCTGTATTCTTCTCCAAAGTTTCCTGAGATTGAACTCCGTGGTGTCTACAGATTCTGGTGCAAACTGACCCCCAACCTGCCCATGCAAGAAATGGTTCGGTGTCATTGGAACATCATCATTTGGGTTTGCTGATTGGTAAGGTAAAGGTCTGGAGTTGATCAACGCCTCAGCTCCTACAAAAGCTGTCATGAGTTCTTCATCAGTAACATCAGCTGATCCGATCACTGCATAGATAGCTCTCTTTGCAGCTTTAATCATAATTTCATGCACCCCTCCAAAGTGAGGTGCAAGTGGTGGATTAAAGTGCCACATGACTCCAAGGTTTGCTGTAGACTGTTGAATTTTTCCATGGTCCAGTAAACCAACAAGCTCTTTGAGTTCATTGTTTCCTCCAAAAAAATTAGTTCCATTATCGGATATGACTTCTTTTGGTAGGCCTCTTCTGCTCACCATCCGGTAAAATGCATTAAGGAACGAATCTGTGTCAAGTCCATAGGCTATTTCTAGATGTACCGCCCTTGACATCACACATGTGAAAAGACATAAGTATCTTTTCTCCCGTCGTTTTCCACGTCCCTGTTTTGTAATAAAAGGTCTTCCATAATCTACTGCAGTACGAGAAAATGCATGTAATGGCTATTTGGTACCAATGGATGGAAGCGGACCCATCACTTGCTCTGCTGGTTTAGCCTTGTTGCGACAACATTTATTGCACTGTCGCTCCCATTTTCGAATCTCCTCTCTTGCGGATATTATCCAGAAACGTGACGAGATCATGGACAACGTTTGATTTGTTCCCGTAACATGATTTCCTTTTTCATGGTAGTACTTGATAATAAGAGTTGTGACATAATTGTTTCTCGGAATAATGATGGGATATCTAACATCATAAGGTAAGAATTCTGCATATTTCAATCGTCCATCACATCTCAAAAGTCTATCTTCATCGATCACTGGGTTTAAACACAATAACTTGCTGTTCTGTTGGAGAGGCTTGTTTTTGTTTCAGTAATCTGTATTCACAATGAAACTCACATTTCTGGGCAGTCCTTATGATTTGAGTTTCTGCTCCTTCAAGTTCTTCAGCATTTAATTCTCCTATGAGTCTATCCATGATCTTCAGTCTGCAATTATGTAGAAAGCGATTCACCCATGCTTGAACTCGAACAAGTCGTATCAAGCTGGAATAGACTTTTGGGTCTAAACAACACTGAATATCTTTACAGTCAATTGTTTCTGTTAAGAATGAATATGAAAAATTGACAACTTCCTTGTTCAACTTCTTTTTCTCCATATCAGTGTCTTGCATTTCGAATTTCTGTAGTTTTGGCCATTCCAAAGATTCATCCTGATGAAGAAAGTGTGGTCCACTCCACCAAACATTATCCCCCTGTAACTGTGAAACAGACACTCCCCTGGATATCATATCTGCAGGATTTAATTCAGTTGGTACGTAGAATTATTGCCTTGGATTTGAGGCCGACTGTATTTCTCCTATGCGATTAGCTACAAATGGCTTGAAACTTCTGCTTCGAGCTTTGATCCAACACAAAACATTCATGCTGTCAGTCGAGAATGTACACTGTTCAATGTCCAATTCTACGGCGCTTATTACAGAGAGAGTCAATCTGGTTCCCAATACTGCACCCATCAATTCAAGTCTAGGTATGCTTACTGCTGTAAGTGGTGCCACTTCAGATTTTGCAGTGACGAATCTTAGCGACACATTTCCATCTTCATACAATAAAACTCGTTTAGTACGAACACGGATATAACGAATTTTTCTTGGATCCCCAGCTATATAAATTTAACGAATTCTACTACGGATATAACGAATTACGGATATAGCGAAGTAATTTCATAGGTCCCAGTGACTTCGTTATAACCGAGTTTTACTGTAAATACATCTCTGATAGACGACAGCACCATACGCATCTTGTGAGGCATCAACAAAGGTATGTAGGTTAAGTTGATAAAACTTCACCATGACACAGACGAAGACATCTCGGTACCGCAATAAGTGATAGCTCTGTTAACTCCTTAAACCACTTCTCGGCCTTCATGACAAGTCCATCACTTAGTGGGTCTTCTCAGTCAAGGCCTGCAGTCCACATTTTTTGTAGAAGAATTTTGGCTCGTATGGGCCCAATGGATCGAACAACATTGCAATTTTTGAAAGAAAACGGCGCTTCGTGTAATGAAAATCACTATTGGGTGGACTCGGTTTAAAGGTAAAAATGTCCAAGGGTTCAATTTTCTTTATTTTTACTAACTTTATTCTAGGACCCATTTGAATCATTCTGTTGATTTTTTTTGTAAAAAAAATGAATTATACATTTTCTCTTAAGAAAACTTCAATTGTCGGATATTTATAGGTTAATTTTCAATTCGGCTGATATTTGGATAAGTAAATAGTGAGTCTCCATTCTTTATGTACTACAAAGGTCAAGGTGATATCAAGAGGTCAAAGGTCAAATATTGTGACGTCATCTACTGAATCTTTTAGTTTTTTTTGCCATTAAAATTTTTTTAATCGCCAAAATATCTGAAACCACTGGATCAATATTTTTTATTTTTACTAATTTTATTCTAGGACCCATTTGAATCATTCTGTTGATTTTTTTTTTTTTGTAAAAAAATGAATTATACATTTTCTCTTAAGAAAACTTTTATTATCGGATATTTATATGTGAATTTTCAATTCCGACGCTACGTATTTTCTCTTTTTACTTAATATTTTACTCAAATTTTCCAGTATCTATATGACTTACTGATTAAAAGTAACAAAAAGGTTATTGTTATTAAAAGTATTACACAAATTTGCGATAGATCAATTGATATTTCTAAAGTAAGGCTCATTTTCAAGTCAAATGTCTGATTTCACAATCTTCGTACAGTGGTCTGATAGGCCATATTTCAGACTATGTGGGCAAAAAATGTGTGGTTAAATTTTTTTCATGTCATATATAGAGAAATTTTGTATCCTAGAAGAAAATATCAAAGTTTCAGAAAAATTGAATTTGAGGAAAAATTTGGCCTTTCTATTGTGTCCTACCTTAAGCTATTTTTTATGTGTATAATATAATATTAAGCTGTTTTCTTACAAGGAGCCTGTGGTTCTGTTCTGGAATCACATTTAACCAGGGTGAAATTAACACATCTTTTCTCTTGTGTAGAATACAAATCTGGATATCTGCATTCGATATGACTTCCACCATAGTCTGAACAATTAAAATACTTGGCGCATGTCTGAGGATCTGGTAATATTGCCATCTTGTGTACCATACAGAAGCTAGGAACATCAACTGCAAAGCAACAGTCATAATAACAGTAAGTTGTTGACAGTAAAATTTCAAAACAATGGTTTTTTTTTAGTTTCCTCTAAAGACTTGAAAGATTTAGTAGCCACATACTCAGTTATAGATAATTGAAATATCAATGAGATATTTGACAGGCATTTATGTATGTGTATCGAAAGACATACACGTACAAATCTATTTTTATTGCCTTTATTTTTATTATGGGTTGATAAATATGTATTTGGTTATTTTTTTCATTCACCCAAAATCAGCGTTTTCTTAGCGACTTCTTTCTCGAATACACAGGTAGAACAAAACATACGAACAAACTGCTTTGGTAATAGTGAAAGACGATTTCCTATTTAGTTATGATGATATTGAGACTACTTTTCATAAAACAACTTACTAATAGTTCTTTAGAAGGCCCATCAACGTGTGTGCGAGGTTGGTTCCTCGACTGTTTATGGAGTAACAGAGGGAAACTCAAATAATAGAATCAATGAAATTCTTCAATCAATGAAAGAGGAGGTTTTGATTGAGGGTTATAGAAAACACCCAAGAAGTTCCGATTTGATTTCTCTGGATTTTTCATTTCACTAAACAAGTAGTACTTGATGACCTCATCTTTCGATGTCAGTGAGGGGACATTAGGTATATAAATTTGAATTTGAGACAAATGAATCATTTTGACCGAGTGTGGCCGTATGGGGCTTGTAAAACAACATCACCATGAACATGATCTTGCATAAAGAACTACGTACGCTAACTCCTGATTCCAGCCTACATTTTACATTAATTCAATATAAATGACAATTTGGTCATAAAATCTTTGTTGAATGAAAAGATCTGTTCAATTATAATTGATTAATAATTTTAATACCAGTGTAAAATAGTTAATTAACCCTTATTCTAGCTCTTTAAAAAAAGGGGGAGGGGGGTAGACGATATTTTTTGTTGAAACCGGGCTTTACACCATCACCGTATTTAAAATATTTTTGAATGTGAATTAATGTTCCTTACCTCTTTTCTTATGTTTTAAGCATATGAAATTAAAAATTTATCATTAATAAATAAAAATATAAAAGAATTTTTTCAAACCTATTGACTCAAAATTACATTATTGTCGTGCTGTACAATAATGATTTCTTATATAAAACTGTGTATTGGATTGTATATACAAAAACTAAATTACTGCTATTATTTTTTTTTTTGATCATCAAGGTTTAAGTTACATACAAATTTATCATCATAACATATTCTAAAATATGCAGCTCATTTAAATGTGATTTAATTCCTTAAAATGACTTGAATTGACTAATCTCTGTGAGATAGTAAAATATTTTTTCTCTATATTTCAGAAGCTAATTTTCGATTTCTGTGATTCGTTACCTTCTAGGTTTTACTTTTGTTTCGCTATAATATATAATGGGCTTATCCCTGTTCCAAAAGCTATTTTCCAGTTATTCGCAATGTTCAATTTTTTTATACTTTTGTAAGGCATAAAGCAACATAAAAGATATCCTTATGACATTTTATAAAGATTTGAGTTCCCCTCTGCTTTCTATATGAAGGCTGCGCCTAGTTGTGTAATTGCCCTCCCCCTTCACTTGTACCAAAAATGCATGCGTTGCCTTGTTGCATACATGTACATGTATCACACTAACCTTTCTCTACAGTTGTCTGACATTTTTTTGTTCTTGGATTAAAGTACAGAGCCATTTTCACATGATGTGGTGCTGATAGTTCAATTTTATAACAAATAATGTAATCCCTCTGCCACAGTTTGTCTGGAAACTCATGATCTCCATCAATGTTGCCTATACAATTAGGCAAGCGATTGGAACACATCTGACAGGAAGTATTGGATGCCTGGCATAGGTTTTGTTCATACTGACCTATTCAAGAGGAAAAAATTAATTACAATTATTACATGTTTTCTTTATTTAACTACATGTATAGGTAAATTGTTCTACATAAACTTGAGGAGGGAATGGGGCAATTAAACTAACCCATTCGAAGATTTTTTCATCATATATGATCTCAAAACAACCCTAGTGTCAAGAAAGTAATATTATATATCAAATGTATTATTTGCAGTGTGCATCATTCTTTTCACTCATTCATATTGCAATTGAGAGGTCACTACACGCTGAACACAGCTGAGATTTTTAACCCTCCATATCCGATTTTCAGGTTTTGAAAAGTATTGTTTTTAATTAACTTTTGAGCATGAATTATCGTTTATTAAAACGCAACAATATTGCCACTTTTCCTAAGTATTAAATAAGAATAAATATAAAAATTGTGAAATTGTGAAATTGCAAAGATATTAAACCCATCCAAAAATTTGAAGTTAAACTTTTAGAAATAAGATTTTTACAATGTGTAATATATTTTCATGTTAAACGCTATTACACTATATGAGTCGTGATATTTTCAGAAAATATTAACTTCAAATCTGTGATAAAAACGTAAAAAAAATTACACACGGATAGATGTACAGACAAATTCCAGGCAGCAGGTCACCAGAAAAGCTCATTTGTGCTTATAGGTTTATAGCACAGTTGAGCTAACATGACAGAGGATATATTTTTTTATTGACCGTCTTGAAAATGGTTGTGTTTCAATTACATAATACAGAATATTAATTAAAAGTATTTTATTTTCTGACACATGGAATCACATGAAGAAATATTTAGAAGAAATATATATAAATCCTCACAGATGCATTTTTTTTTCTTCAAACCACATACAACATTTTGATATTCTGCTATAGGAGGCAGCGCTTTATGATGATTTCCAACATGATTTTAATAGGTATGATACTAAAGTATTGTTTTTAAATACATCTCATATTTCAAATTTAATGTTTTGAAAATAAATTTTAATCTCTATTCTCTGTGTCCATCAAATGTGAAAAAATGCTATACCCCTTTTTGACGAAGTATAATTAATCTACAACGATTTTGATAGTTTTCAAACATGAGTGAATAAATATGATGCCTTTTTACTAGTTTCAATAGTTCCGACATATTTTACTTATAAAGAATACTGCATTATCTAGTGATTTTTAGACCCTATCACGGCAAAATTCGGCTTGGTTTGTGACAATATGTTCTTTCATGAGAGAGCATGGGCAGGTCTTACTACAATGAAGGATATGTATGTCCAAGGAGTCTACCTTATATGCAATGTTATTATTTCGCACAGAGTTGCTTACCGAAAAAAGTTGTCCATTCCGATGACAGAACGACAAAACATGCTGGTTTACTACACGTTTACATTTTATCACTGACACGTGGTTTAGGTCAATTTACCTTTTATCCACTTCTACATTTCAAACTTTTAATTGTCAGCCAAGGCTGTTTATACTTAAAGCTGAACACGATTCGTAAAAGGAATGTGTCCGCCGTGTTTGTTCCCAATTCTCGCTACTCTGCAGACCCATATAAAAAGGGCAGGACATAGACCCTGTTCAGTGTAATATTTCGATACCGGTTGTAGACAGACGTATGTTATACAGGACTCGATCGGTAGATAGAATAATAACGTAATACTTCTTCAAATGCAGGAAAGTAAGATACCAAACAAATTTACAATTATAGTTGTACAGGTCAGTGCAATATACAAACAACACAGATACACATAACTGCAATAATATATAAACAAAGGTAATGCAAGATAACCAGCACGAACACAGGTCGCCATTCCACGCCGATATTCGTGACAATGAAGCACTCATGTGTAACGAATGCTATGAGTATACCCTAGTGTTGATGTATCGTAGATAATGATATCGACGTACGTCTATTAAACAAGTGTTCAGCTTTAATAATACCAATTCAATTTATTCTCTCAAAACCATGTAAATGGTACATGAGGTACAAAACATATAAAACATATATACATATAATACAGTGGGTCAAGCAGAAGGTGATAATTATGCAGAACAGACAATACTATTAATTTTAGAAATAAATGTACATAATTGTTTCAAAGAATCAACATCATTTTGGCACATGATTTCACAAAACTTGATGATATTTGGATAAGAACAGAAGTTTTGGTTCAAATAAACTTTTCTTAATTGGTTTAAAGCACTACATTCTAAAATATAATGATACTCATCTCCTATCTGGTTATTACTACATAAGCTACAAACTCTTTCATTTCTTTGAGTACCATTCCATCTACCTGTTTCAATTGGGAGGTGGTGATTTGTGGTTCTAAACTTAACAAAAGTTTTTCTGAATTTAAATGATAACATTGTTAAATATTTTTCGCACTCAAAATTGGTTTTAAAAATTCTATAATTTAAACTTTTTGAAGATTCTTGAACTTCACTATTCCACTTTTGAATATATTGATCTTTTAATCTTTGTTTGACTGTAACAGTTATCCATTCTACATTATAAAAAGATGTTCGTGCTCATACCATATATTTGATAAACCACAGAGATATCAAAAATCTTTTGTACAAAGGATATCCATGAATTTTTCATTTCCTCTTTATCATGTTGTTTACGTAAATACATATATACTATTCTACACAATTTGTTTTCTTTTCCATTCACAAGGTTTGCCCAATATTTTATCATTCTTGAGTAAATATTTATGTGTAATGGAAATCTACCATTTTCTCGATAAATCATATAACTCGGAGTGCTACTTTTCAGATTCAATATATGTTTTAAATAACGTAAATGTACTCGTTCAATAATATCGATATTTTCATACCCCCATATTTCACAGCCATATAACAATACTGGTAAAACTACTTTATCAAACAAATCCAATTGACATTCGAAGGGGAGATTAAACTGCCTAATTTTACGTATCACACCATACATTGCCTTTTGTGCTTGTTCACATAGGTGTTTTCTTGCTTTACATAATGAGCCTGTACGAGAAAATACAATCCCTAAACTAGATGCTGTCATGAGACAGTAATACCCGCACTAAGGTGTTTGCCTCTAAATACACAATCCTACGGGCATATGAAAAGGAAAAAGTCAAAATAATTCTATATAATTCAGGCACGTAGCAATGTTTTTGAAATTGGGGGGGGGGGGGGCAACCTGAGAAATTTTTTTTTTACTTACCTAAAAAAATTAACAAGGGAAAAAAAAGGAAATGGGGGGGGGGGGGGGGGGGGGGGGGGGGGGGGGGGAGTGGCCACCTTTTTTTCAAGGCAAAATTACTTTCACTTCCAATTTTTTCCCCATATTTCCTTGCTATGAAATTACTGTGGTAAAAAGTGGGGTGGGGGGGGGGGGCAACCATCTTTTCAATGGACATTTTCTTATAGTACAGGTAATGTTGGGAAAAAAAGGGGGGGGGCAGCCCCCCCCCCCCGGTTGCTATGTGCCTGTAATTTACATGTATTCATCAAATTGAGTATGAAATTATCCCTGTGACCTATAACTCAGAACCTCTTATATTTATTTTACGTGCTTAATTCATTATATACCAGTTTGAATTATATTAATGATGTCAATTAGATTTTGATAAATGTTTTGCTCATAATAGGACCTTTTTAAATTTACTAATCCCCCCCCCCCCCCGACACCACAATCACACAGTACATACTTTTTGGAATAGGCTAGATGGAACAGTTTTGTTAAAACATTGTTTGTTATGAATTAATTTAAAATTTGTTCTTGACATGTAAATTCTACATCACATCACGTTGCGTCACCCATTATCATATTTTTAGATTATCATATTTTTAGATTAAACTCCATTCGGTACACCTCGGCCAATTCCCACTTCATCTGATAAGGTGACGGAATCGACGGCACGAAGGTTTTCCGAATGGAATAGCATTATAACATGATGCAGAATGGTGTGCATTGGATTAATTCATTTTGTGTTATATAAATTGGATTTATATTTCATGAAGTTTACAAGACCTATGGAGGTCGGTAAGTACAAGTTTAAGTATAGTGGGGGGTAAAATAAACTCAAACGGTTAGGTTAAAGTTCAAAAAGGGTAAAAGATCATCGCATGCCACACTAGACGAATTTCATATTGTGAAGTTATCTCCTCTTGTCGATGTGACATTCAGTTACTGCCAATACTGGTGCGGATCCAGAATTTTTTTTCGGGAGTAGGGAGGGGGGTTCACATCTCAGTCAAAAAATTCATGCCTAGAATTTCCTGACAAGCAGGGGGAAAAAAAACCTCATAAACTGAAAACAAATAAACAAAATAAAAACAATGATAGTGGGGTCAATGTTTTCTAAGTTAGGGGGAGGATGTCCAAAGTCATTTTTTATTTGCTTCAGTATATAGTCTTGTTTAAATAACAAAGGAAACTCCAGGGGGGGTCCAATCTCCCTTCCCACTCCCTATCCCTGAAATAACAATCTATTTTGTGATTCCAATTAAATAGTATATTTTTTTCCATTTGACTAATTATGTACATATTTTGTTTCTTGTGTTTATATTATGTCTGTCTATTTGTCTGCAGAAATTATAACCTTGCCCATAAGTTTTAAGTGGGATGGGCTATACAAATGGCTTCCACATTTTATAGGTTTATTTCTTGTGACAATTAAGACCTTTTATTTGGGTAACATTAATTTTTACCTCTGATCACTTGACCTAGAATACACATTTTTACAAGAAAAATACCCAACTTTAAACTTGGCCTAAATTTTGATCAGTAGGTGCTAGGGCTTTCATGCTTAACATGTGTATTCATTGTGAACTGTCAACAGGTATAAATATGTTTGACCTTGACCTTTAGAGTGTGAACCACTTAAAAAATTATATAACCTTGGCAATTAACTTTTGAACAGGAAGTACTGGGGATTACTTATTTCACATGTGCATTCCTTGTGACAAGACTTTTTTCTGATACCAACAATTTGAACCCTTTGACCTTGACCTTTGAGTTTGACATATATTTGAGAAACTTCAACCTTCGCCATAGGCTTCCATACAGGGACATCAGTGTTTCACAAACACATCTTGTCTTCATTATTATTTGGTGGTGTCTCCATATGAGGGAAAAATTCCCGAGAGAGATGTATTCACAACAAACAAACAAGTTACTAAAGAAAATATAAAACATGAATATGTTGGTCATAATATCTCTGCATGAAAAAAACAGCTTTTCAAATATTGCAACCATATTTGTAACCCTTTCAATTTTTTGTTGAAACACTCATTTGAGCTTTTCTGGTTTTCTTATCATATAACGTCTTTTGACATGTCGTCCATCTGTTTGTCTGAAAACTTTTTACATTTTTAACTTCTCTAGAACCACTGGTCCAATTTTACCCATGCAATTCATATAGAAATATGTACATTTGTAAATGTTTCTGTCATGAATAAAATTAACCTTGGTCATCACGGTCATATCTACTGAATGAGAAGAGACAAGGCATTCATATTAAACTTATGTACTAGTATTTACCTGTGAGAATGGCATGATTTTTATTTTTTTACATATGTACCTAGAAGTTTGACCTACTTGCAAAAAAACTAAATTGTTATAAATTCATCATTTTGAAAGAGAAAAGTTAGGGCATTCATATTAATAATGCACGTATATTAACCTGTGATAAGATCTTTCCAAATGAATCATGACTTTTCTCTGTGACCTTGACCTTGAAGCCTAACCTATTTTCAAAAATGTTGCATTTGCTTATAACTTTTGATTGAGATGAGATATGACTCTCACATTTGACATGTACATTGTTACTCATAAGAATTCAAGGTGTTTCCCAGCATGCGGTGATTTTTTACCCCTTGATTGCAATGTTTTATTTTAATTTTCAAAGTATTTAACTCTCCTAAAAGATGATTAGGCTTCTGAGTAACATTAAGGAGGACTTACTAGGAAAGACAGGACTTTTTGCACAAAAAACTCATTTTTACCCCATTTCCCCCCCTTGGGGAAAAATCAAAATTACAAAACCTTACTGCACATGTACATGTACACCACCAACCTTTCCCAGAAGGTGATTAGGCTGCTGAGTAAAATGTAGAAGCCATTTTCAGGGAAGATGTGGGGCTTTTTTGATAAAAAAAAGTCATTTTTAACAAATAATGTAATCCCCCTGGAAAAACAAAATTCCGAAACCTTACTGTACATCTACATGACACCACCAATCATTCCCCAAAAGATGATTAGGCTGCTGTGTAAAATGACAGGAAGAAGTTGGAGGGAAGATGTGACTTTTTTCATAAAAAACCATTTTTCACCCCCAGACCCCCGGAGCAAAATCAAAATTCCGAAACCTTACTGCACATCTACATGACACCACCAATCATCTCCCAAAAGGTGATTAGGCTGCTGAGTAAAATGTAGAAGGAGTTCAGGGAAGACGGGACTTTTTGCATAAAAAACCCATTTTTCGAAGCCCAATCATCATATATGATCTCCCCCAGGGCAAAATAAATTATATATCCAAAACCTTACTGCACATCTACATGACACCACCAATCATCCCCCAAAAGGTGATTAGGCTGCTGAGTAAAATGTAGAAGGAGTTAAGGGAAGACGGGACTTTTTGCAGGTTTTAAAAAACGTATTGTTTTTAATGAACTTTTGACCCCCCGGGGCAAAATCAAAATTACAAAACCTTACTGCACATCTACATGACACCACCTTTTCCAAAAGGTGATTAGGCTGCTGAGTAAAATAAAAATTCAGTGAAGATTGTGAACTTTTTGCATAAAAAATGTCAAACCCATCCAAAAACCCCCGGGGCAAAACCAAAATTTTAGAAACCTTACTGCACATCTACATGACACCATATATTCCCCCAAAAGGTGATTAGGCTGCTATTAAAATGTATATGAAGACGGGACTTTTTACATAAAAAATATTAACTTCAAATCTGTGATAAAAACAAAAAAAAAAATTACACACGGATACATGTACACCACCAATCAACCCCAAAAGGTGATTAGGCTGCTCATTTGTAAAAGGTTTATAGCACAGTTGAGCTCAGGGAAAATGACTTTTTGCATAAAAAATATCTTTTTATTGACCGTCTTGAAAATGGTTGTGTTTCAATTACATAATACACCAATCATTAATTAAAAGGTATTTTATTTTAACATGAAGAAATATTTAGAAGAAATATATTTTTTCATAAAAAATGCATTTTTTTTTCTTTCAACCAGCAAAACAACATTTTGATATTCTGACTTAGGAGACACGCTTTATGATGATTCCCAAAATGATTTTTAGGTATGATACTAAAGTATTGTTTTTAAATACACTCATATTTCAAATTTAATGTTTTGAAAATAAATTTTACTCCTATTCTCTGTGGCAAAATCAAAATTCCAAAACCTTACTGCACTATCATGACACCACCTTTTTCCCAAAAGTATGATTAGGCTGCTAGTAAAATTTTGATAGTTTTCAAACATTTTTGAATAAAAAACGCCTTTTTACTAGTTTCAACCCCCCGGCAAAATTTTACTTATAAAACCTTACTGCACATCTATGATTTTTACACCACCAATCACGGCAAAAGGTGATTAGGTTTGTGACAATATGTTCTTTCATGAGAGAGCATGGGCAGGTCTTAGTACAAAAAGGATATGTATGTCCAAGGAGTCCCCCCGGGGCATATGCAATGTTATTATTTCGCACATAGTTGCTTACCCAAAAGGTGATTAGGCTGCCATTAAAATGACAGAACGACAAAACATGCTTTTTACTACACGTTTACATTTTATCACTGACACGTGGTTTAGGTCAATTTACCCTTTATCCACTTCTACATTTCAAACTTTTAATTGTCAGCCAAGGCTGTTTATGCTTAAAGCTGAACACGATTCGTAAAAGGAATGTTTCATAAAAAACGTGTTTGTTCCCAATTCTCGCAAAATCTGCAAATTCATATAAAAAGCACAGGACATAGACCCTGTTCAGTGTAAAAGGTGATACCGGTGTAGACAAATGTTATAAGGACTCGGTAGCAAGAATAAAAACGTAATACTTCGTCTAATGCAGGAAAGTAAGACACCAAATTTTACAATTATAGTTGTACAGGTCAGTGCAGAATACAAACAACACAGATACACATAACTGCAATAATATATAAACAAAGGTAATGCAAGATAACCAGCACGAACACAGGTTGCCATTCCACGCCGATATCCGTGACAATAAAGCACTCATGTGTAACGAATGCGACGAGTATACCCTAGTGTTGATGTATCGTAGATAATGATATCGACGTACGTCTATTTACGAGTAGTGTTCAGCTTTAATAATACCAGCGACCCCTCATAATACGAATGGATTCTCTGCGTTTACGGTTTTGGGTCAAGAAATGCACATGAAACTTTAATTCAATGATACTCGGAAATATACGTGTAGACCTACGGCTAGCGAAATACCCACCAAACACTTTACAAAACTAAAAACTATGTACAGTGTATATTTATCAATCAATTGTTTGTAACAGTGATCTCGAAATCGTACATATATAGATCCATGTCTTATCTGTGGTTCGAATGTATAAAAATATTTACAAGAAACCAGGTAAAAGGTAAAATAAGTCTTTTTTCCAAGCATGAAATTATTTCCTTAGTGTTTTAGTGGTACTCACTCGTAATGCATCTCAATAGCCGATTGGTCAGTTAGAACGTATCGGCAATGCCTGGATTAGCATATGAATTTCAGTGTATACAATGGGTAACGCGGGGGAGCCGCTTAAAAGTATACTGGGGAAGTCATTTGTAGCGTATGGCGGATTAGATTTTCACCGCTTCGGAGTCAGAAGAGATGTGTGTCACGTCTTTTTTTCGGTATTTTATTCGATAGATTTCATATATATGTTGATAGAGTGGTCAAAACATGCATTATTTGCACAATCTACGACTGACAGTTAAAATAGCAAAAGCAAACGTTTATTTTATATTCAATAATTAAAACTTGACTAGACTTTATAAAAATTAATAATAAAGACATTTTCTCTTCTGACAGTAACGGTGGCGTAGGGGAAAGTCGTTTCTGGGAAAACACAACGCATGGGGGAGTCGTAGAATAAAATCAAATGTATACTTTAGGGCGTTTTGCCACGCCTTACTGAAAGACGTAGGATAACAGGAAATTGGGCTAATTATTGCAAAACAATTAAGAATATTCAAAAAATGATGAGAAGGTTTGTCAAAGATCATTTCCAGATTAATCTGTACACAATGTCAAAAAGAGATCTTACAAGGAGCTTGTGGTTCAGGTCGCCCTCTGCATGCCACAATCTCAAAGTGTCCACATTTGCTCGAACTGCTATCAAACAAGTCTGGATAGCTACACTCCATCTTAAACAGTTCTAATGATCTTGGAGTTTGAGACTGAAGTGTGCTTGTTATTCCTGTGGAGCAATTGAAGTACTGACCACAATTGTAAGGGTTTGGCAAAATATCACTTAAATGTGCCTTGCAGTAATCTGGTACATCAACTGTAACATAACCAAAGACATTATCATTTATTCCCTTATGACCGACACATTAACATAGATAAGTACTACCATTTTCAGAAACTGTTTTATCTTTCATACCTGGTTCAACAGGTTTCAAACAGACTCCTCTTCTAGGATGGAAATATTCACCTACTGGGCATTCCTCTGACCTTAAAGTTCTGTTTTTGTAACAGATAATATACTTTGATTTCCACATGAATCCAACCATTGGATTCTTGCCATTTGGTAGTCCTACACAAGATGTGAGCCGAGCTGGACAAGGACGGCAGGATTTGTCCGACATCAAACACCTATTCTGCATGTAGTCACCTACAAAAGTGAACAAATAATTGCCAATGAGAAAAAAGTATTTTAATAATTTCTGTATACTGAAAACATCAGGTAGATTACAGTACAGTGTATATGATTCCTAAGTATTTTTGTTTTAATACCAATTATAACCTATCCCAGTTGCGAACATCGCCACTTATTGCATCATGTATCTACAAGTAAATTCAGATAATCTGTGTCCTCCATAAAGGAAAAAAGAAGATAATATGCTGTACCAGGAAGGGAGTCAAGTGGGGAGGGCACTTTACGAAATATGAAAGTTTTACACACACATGCATACAATGTATGAATTTACGACCTTTTACACTCAAAATAAACAGGGGACTTCCTAAGGTCAAATACAGTTGTGGTATAAAATGTCATTTGCAAAAGCTCAAAGGCTTCTCGCGTGGAAACGAAATTGTTAAAACAAACAGAATTTTTGCATTTATGACCTTGACCTTTTTACATCAAAATCAATAGGGATGTTTCTTAGTTCATAGGGAGATGTTTTGTAAAATTACATTGCAAAAGCTCAAAGGCTTCTTGAGGTATCATGTGGAAACGAAAGCAATACCGACAGAATTTTGGTCTGTCTGTCCGAAATTAATCCCCCCCCCATTCAGCGGGGGATCAAAAAACCTTATATTCGTTTGAAGATTGATTTTTCCTGTATATAAGTAATAACATCCTGAAAATCAAGGTAAACTAGAGGTATACTAGAGGCACTGAGCTCACTAAATGATATCCCCTGCCTCCCATATGATTAAAATAGCAAAGTACAGTGTGTACATGTTTCTCTCTAGAAGACCCGAAATAAGTGTCAGATCAAAAGTGAAATAGGAGGTGCACAATGACAAAATATAATAAAAATCTGTGAAAGTATCATTTATTGTTATTCAGTGGTATAGGAGGAGTTCCGGATAAAAGATGGGTACCCTTCACTATTGTAAAAAGAATGGTAGTATCCTTGTTTTGCCATAGGAAACCCGATATACATGTATGTGTCCGATCAAAATGTAAAAGAGGTGCACAATGGCACTATGTTACAAAGATTCTTTGAAAGTCTGATCAAATTTCATTGAATGGTATAAGAGGAGTTGCGGATGAGAGATGGGTACCACAAAGCGGAACAGACAGACGGACGGACGTACAGCTAGACGGACGGTTGGACGGATATCGCGATCACTATATACCCTCCTACTTTTCAAGCTGAGGATATAATGATTTTTGTATGTTTGACACTAACACTGAATCATAGTTTGTCCCACTTGCCAATTTTTGCATCATATTTCAAAATGTATAAAAACATGATCCCTGATGTCTTGGAGGTCCGTGTCTGCTCTGCTTCTATTTTGTGTCAATATTGTTTTATGGATTTTGATCTTGAGTACTGCTCGTTATCTCCATATGTTAAATTATCATTAACAGATACTGCACATTTTATTAGCATTTATTAAAACAAATTTTATTCGAATTACGAATGTAATCAATTTGTCATATCTTTTAATTACATCTACAATATATCAAGTTGATCCATTTAATACTTAAATATTAGCATCTACATGTATTTGAAATATAAAATAGATGCATTTATTTCATGAGAAAAGAAATCGGGTTCTATGTATGATTTGTAGACTTCAAAATTAACATCGGGTTTGGGCTTCCTTTAATGCCGGGATGGCTCAACCGTCACAGATTAATCAAGAGTTTAGATTGGTAAAAATACGCCGGATTGTCTTTTAAGAAATATTCAACATTTCTTACTCGGTACCCTTTCTAGATATTTTTATGTAGATTTGCTTTTGACGATACAATATTTAAGGGGGATGTCCGGCCACCTTTAGTGCAATAAGAACAAAATGTTAACGTTTCTTCAAATGGCTAAAATACATTATATTTTGATCATATTTCAAGTCCTTATGATAAATATACAATAAATATGAATAATTGAATGCATGTTTTGTCTATATAATCTATACTTCTGCAAAAAAAAAAAATGCTTTTGATGAACTCTTTAGAGCTGCGCAGCTACAGAATTCAGCAGAGCCTTAAAAAATCCCAAAAATTAGGCAAAGTGTGCCTTAATGTTCTCTCTACAATCATTTGTTGAGAAAATGTCTAAATTTTGCACTTTTAAATGGTAATTTCAAGTTCAAAACAAGGTACTGTATTTTCAAAATGAGTGTGAAGAACCATGAAATTAGTTCATGGATAGCAGCACGTGGTCTATTTTTAGTACCGAATTTTCCCCCCAGACCTCTTCTTAATATGGAGGTTCATAATGATCTTTAAAAAGTAGAAGAGAATTACAATTGGAAAATGTTTAAAATAATATGAACACTTTTAAGGGGGCTCTCTACAACGTCACAACATGGCGTACTTCCGTTGAAACGCCATTTTGGTCCAAAATGATCTGATTCAAATTCACTTAACACCGATAAATCACTGAGTACAACACAACATGCGAAGTTGTGGATGGAATGTGCATTGTATCACCTAAATTAATACAGTGTATTGCTTAATACGTATCCTTTCTTTAAAAATGAATTGTTTTTCAATGTATTCAATTTCTACTTATTTACTTATTAAATAATATATTTACAAACTTATTAGAATAAGATTTTCAGGTGAGAAAAAATTATATAAAACATGGCTGGTCCATATGCTAATTCATTATACGTGTTAAAAAGCCATACACTCAGAAATTTCTTTCTTCTTCAATAAACATATATGCTTTCCAGCAAAATATATCCCCAAAAATGCAAATTTGATAAGATAAGACATATGTATTATCTTCCCATCAACTAGAGGATACTCTGTTTACGATTTGAATTACATCCGAATGAATAGTTATACCCGGTGAAATTTAAACTCTTCATGAAATCACCAAAACGTTTGGACAGTAAGTGGAATTTTGCATGACCCAAACATTTGATCAACATTGATTATCAGCTGTTTGTATGGGAAACGTGCAGTATTTAGACGAAGTGTGAATTTGGTTATAGGAATTTATTTTACCCGCTTTTGGCCATTAACCATGTTTTCATGTTTTGTTATCTCTAGCACTGGATAACACATGCAAGTTGGATAAAAACGGTAAGTAAATCTACCTTTCTCAATACCATGAATTCACTAAATACATGTCTTTGTCATTGACTGGAAACGTGATGGTTTTCGCTTAAACTCATTTGAAAAACAATATATGTACAATACGAACTTCTTTCAATGTCTTTGCTTGACATTTTTTTTCAATACTCGTGCAAGTTACAGTAGAGTTTATTTGAAGTTTATAAAAAAAAAACAGTACCAAGATATTTGAGCCCACCCTTCAAGCGGATCTCTCACACCTGAATTTTTGTGATGTTTGAAATTTTTGACAATTTTTCAATTTTGTTCAATTTCTTTTTTTATTGTTTTTACCCTTTAATATTATATATCTTTTCAGATACTGGAGAAGATCCAACCAGCTATTCTCAAGAAAATGCTGTTCTAGTTTTTCTTTTGTCTGTTTTTCTATATTTAAATAAAAATTATGTTGATTTTATTTTAAAGCACTGGACTTTTAAAAATATAGATAGGAGGGGTTTTAACCAAAGAAATAAAATATTTTAAATCTTTCTAAAAAATAAATTGAAATACTTTGGAACCTTATTTTATCGGATATGGAGCCTATTATTAGAAACAAATGCATGCAACAACAATCAGTTATACTTTATAGGTGTAGAGATCCTCCTTAAAAGGGGAATCGTGTTATATTGTGACTTAAAGAAATTAGTATTATTATCGAAGATTTGTTAAGTAGTGTACGTGTTGATATAAAAAAAAATCTTCAACTCTTTGATTCCAGGTAAGGGAAATGAGCACCATCAAAGTTAAAAATTAGGAATTTGTAAGTCTGACACGGACAACTTATTTGTATCAACGAGAATTTTGATTTCTAAGCATTCTCTTTGCCGAGCCCCATTTGAAAATAACTTCTATCGCTATAGAAAAGAAATCCGACGTAAACACATATGTATAGGACATTTTTTAATCTTCTTCTTGAGTTTTAAAGGAATCAACAAATTATCATGACTTGTTTCAGGGAAAATTAAATATAATCATGCTAATAAACGCATCTATCCACAGAAGATATATACACATGCCAACCACGTGCTCAGTGGAATGATACATGTATGAACGATGTGTGAAAATTTGTGTGACAACTGTATCGGATGAGGATGACCTGTGAAGAAACGATAACGTCTGAACAAAACTTAAAAAATTGAAACGTAAATGAAAGACAAATTAAGTGAAAGCAGAGTTTAAAAGAAATTAAAACCTTAACGATATATTTACCGGAGTGGGGTTAAAATCGCGTTTTTTCATTTGTGTTAATCAGACGATGCGATGCAACAAATATAAAAGTATGATAAGTTATATAAGTTTTTCCCGATTTACCGGAGTGGGGTAAAATCGCGTTTTTTCTAAGGATTATAAAAGTAGTAAGTTATATAACCTAAGGATTATTACTTAGTAAATTTTTGTCTAGATGTTGTTATGGTCGCATTTATTTAGTATTCTAAAATCAATGTTATTTGAACTATGTGTGACAGAGGAATGGCGTACGTAAGGAACACATGGCCTCAGGAAGACCCCTATATGAAAAATCAAATTTTCAAGAATAATGGATGAGGATAAGAAAAAAGCGAAACAAATGATTGTAGCCATATTATCAATGAACCGAATTGACATCATTTTCAATGCATTTTTCATTTCGTGAATGCTGTAGGTGCACATGCAGTTCTAACATGAATAATTTTCTCCTGATTAAAACAAAATAAACTTAATTATTTACTTATTTTGGTCTCTAACATTAGGTAATGAGTGCATTAGCACCTATGAGTAAATTTGGGCTAGTTTGGTAGAGTATTAAGCGCATTCTTGGTACATGTATGTCTTATTTGACACCAGACTAGATCCGATATGACTTGTACATCCCCCTTAAGTCCAATTTGTTTGCGTTTACTGCCTATGCTAGGCAAGTTCAGTATATGAAATACATTTAAAATAAAAAAATAAAATAGAAATATTATTACTCCCCATGCGTCAGGATCGAAATTGGAACCTTGGAAATTTTCCGCAAAAGTTAAACGGAAGTACCCGAGCTATCAAGTGAAGAAATTGACGTCACATACAAAGCTATGTTTACTTACAGTAGTGTATCAGAAAATTTTATTTAAAGTCGGATTATTACAACAATTAACATTAACATAACGTGTAAAATTGTATTTTTTTCTCAAGTAAGTTATTGCTGTTTGCCTAAGACACCATGATGCTATGCAACCCAGAGGATGTTAAAAATTTTCACATCAAGACATTATTGATATAAAGTTTTTTGAACAACGTAAAGTATTTCACATGATTGATAAAAAGTCATTTGAACAATATGCAGATTTAAATCCGAATTTCCTTCATTTGCACATGTCTATAAGCTCGCTGTGTATCAAAAGAAGTTAATATGATAAATTGTTATGATAAGTTATGTACAAATTCCTGATATATCTAGCTCATGTCAGAGTTGTTTGAAAGTCACTAATGCAATATTAATAGGAAAAAAAATGATTTTTTTTGTTAACTTGTAAATTTATATATTGCATGAGAAATGCCCGAAAAAAAGGTGGAATGCAACATCAAGGTTGGTACTGCTACTAGAGAGAGAATATCCCCCTCAACCTGTATCCAGTCAGATGACAGCTAGTGAGGATGCTTCAACCAATCATCAAACATTGATGTTCATGCAAGCCCCATTACCTCAGACTATTGCAACCAAATCTTTAATGGGGCAAGTATCAATCAGGAAATTTTTTGACTTCAATTATAGGGACTTCTGTAGCAGACAGACATGTGGGTATTGTATATTTCCATGAAAATGTAACAATGGGCACCCTATATCATCATGTCCCTTACAAAAAGTATCAAAATAATTAAAGATTACCTAGATCAAAGTACAGCCTCATTTATAAAGGAGGGATATATTTTTTAAGGGCATTACATTAAAGTATTGGTCAACTTTCTTTCCCAATAAATCTTCACATGTTACCAGTTTGTATAATTCCTAAATCCATGCAGGTATGGATGATTGCTCATTTCTCATACCCTGAATCAAATGGCATATTAAATGATTTCATTGATCTAGAGCTGTGTATAGTAAATGTTTTATCATTTGACAACTTAGTAGACATTATTTCTGTGTTAGGAAAAGGGGCTCTTTTAGCAAAAGTTAAATATTGAAAAGTGCAGATTTAAATCTGAATTTTCTCCATTTGCACATGTCTATAAGCTCGCTGTGCTCTCTATAATAAATATCAAAAGAAGTTAATATGATAAATTGTTGAAAGTCACTAATGCAATATTAATAGGTAAAAAAATGATTTTTTTTGTTAACTTGTAAATTTATATATTGCATGAGAAATGCCCGAAAAGAAGGTGGAATGCAACATCAAGGTTGGTACTGCTACTAGAGAATATCCCCCTCAACTTGTGCCCAGTCAGATGACAGCTAGTGAGGATGCTTCAACCAATCATCAAACATTGATGTTTGGGCATGCCCCATTGCCTCAGGCTATTGCAACCAAATCTTTAATGGGACAAGTATCAATCAGGAAATGTTTTGACTTCAACTATAGGGACTTCTGTAGGAGACAGACATGTGGGTATTGTATATTTGCATGAAAATCTGGGCACCCAATATCATCATGACTCTACTAGAAGTATCAAAATAATTAAAGATTACCTAGATCAAAGTACAGCCTCATTTATAAAGGAGGGATATATTTTTTAAGGGCATTACATTAAAGTATTGGTCAACTTCCTTTCCCAATAAATCTTCACATGTTACCAGTTTGTATAATTTCTAAATCCATGCAGGTACGGATGATTGCTCATTTCTCATACCCTGAATCAAATGGCATATTAAATGATTTCATTGATCTAGAGCTGTGTATAGTAAATGTTTTATCATTTGACAACTTAGTAGACATTATTTCTGTGTTAGGAAAAGGGGCTCTTTTAGCAAAAGTTAAATATTGAAAAGTGCAGATTTAAATCTGAATTTTCTCCATTTGCACATGTCTATAAGCTCGCTGTGCTCTCTATTATAAATATCAAAAGAAGTTAATATGATAAATTGTTGGAAAGTCACTAATGCAATATTAATAGGTAAAAAAATGATTTTTTTTGTTAACTTGTAAATTTATATATTGCCATGAGAAATGCCAGAAAAGAAGGTGGAATGCAACATCAAGGTTGGTACTGCTACTAGAGAGAGAATATCCCCTCAACCTGTGTCCAGTCAGATGACAGTTACATGTAGTGAGGATGCTTCAACCAATTATCAAACATTGATGGTCATGCAAGCCCCATTGCCTCAAGCTATTGCAACCAAATCTTTAATGGGGCAAGTATCGATCAGGAAATGTTTTGACTTCAACTATAGGGGCTTCTGTAGCAGGCAGATATGTGGGTATTGTATATTTGCATAAAATATAACAATGGGCATTATCATATCATCATGTCCCTTACAAAAAGTATCAAAATATGTAAAGGATTACCCAGATCAAAGTACACATGTACATCCCGATTTATAAAGGAAGGATATATTTGTAAGGGTATTAAATTACAGTATTGGTCAACTTCCTTTCCCATTAAATCTTCACATGTTACCAGTTTGTATAATTCCTAAAACCGTACAAGTAAGGAGGATGATTGCTCATTTCTCACACCTTGAATCAAATAGCATATTAAATGAAGTTTTCATTAACCTAGAGCTGTGTATAGTAAATGTTTTATCATTTGACAACTTAGTAGACATTATTTTTGTGTCAGGAAAATGAGCTCTTTTAGCAAAAGTTTAATTGAAAAGTGCTTGTAGATTAATTGATATTTAAACATACTGGTGATTTTGATTTGTTTGGTTTCTCAGTAAATGGGTTTTAATACATAAAAGAAATGTTACCAAATGGCTCTACAATAAGATAATGGGAGACATTTACAACAATTTTTTTATTGGTTAACAAAATATCAAACTGAATTTACACACTTCAGATCACTATATAGATGATGACTTTATTTTTACTGGGAAAAGGGAAACAGAATGTATACAGCTTATTGTAAACTGAAAAATTGTTGGGCCACTGAGTGATATTGGTGTCCCCTTAGCTGAAGATAAAACTGCAACAAGAATCTCATATTTAGGATTAGAAATATACACTGCTAATTGTCTTGCAAGTTTCACAGCTAAAGTGTCTTCCCACAAATTTTTATTAAAATAGAAAATTTGGTGTTATGACTATGTCATAACACCAAATTTTCTATTTTAATAAAAATTTGTGGGGAAGACAAAAGGTTACTATGTTTAATAAATATGGTAAAAGAGATGTTGCAGAAAAAGGTTACCCTTTTGAGAGTTACACTTCGTAGTTGGATTCTTCAGTTTCTGTAGTAAGGCAAATAGATCAAGCATGGTAATAGGAGAATTTGTGATGCAACGAGTGGTACATCCAAACCTAGGCCTTATAACTTCATTTGAATTTCAACAGGCATGAAAAGTTACTGGGATATGTGGTTAAAGTTCTCACAAAATTTCAATGGTATACATGTACATGTATCACATTTTAATACACATTGATAACATTGCAGTTGTGTGTTATTGTCATAATTATGTATCAAGAAGGACTATGGATTTATGTGTCAAAATTATGATGTATAATGTTATTTATACAGGTAAGCAGATACCAGGTGTTTTCAATAACAGACGCAATTTCCCATAAACTGTAGAGGCATTTCAGGGACCTAGCACCAAGAACAGAACAGATACCACAAAGCGTACTAAGGAATTTATGAGAATGATCATGGGCTTAAAGTAGAAAGATTACTGGAGACCACTGTGTCCACAAATACAAAATTGTTGTACTATCATTTCAAAAGTTTCGTTACTTCTTTAATTAGGAACAAATGTGGCCACCATTTTTAAATCACATAGTGCAGTAAATTACATTTTTGGCATGTTCATGCTCTTCATATTTATCAGATAGGTCATACAATGTATGTTGCTGCCATCAGTTTTCAGTGTAAGTTAAAAAAATTTCCAGAATGTCACAAGTTCAGGTTCATTTATTAACTCAAAAACCTCTAAATATATGGTACATGAGATTAGTGTAAAGTATTACAGTATATGAATTTAGGTCAGAGGGTTGCAGGGTAGCAAAGAAATGTTGATAATGCAGTACATTCAAGTATAAAATGGAATCTGTTGGCCACATGATAAGTTTTTTTTTACTATTTCAAGCACATGATTATTAAAAATTGTGCAAGTTGTTCCCACATTAGGTACGTATAATTATGTATGAATCTTACCTTTCTTCATTAACATTAATTATTCTTTTTGTGTTCTTTTTAATTATGCATGGTTTGCAGTATTCTTTGCTTTTACACCCAGAAATGATGATCATTGCAGTTATAATTAAGATTGCAGACACGACACCAAAACTGAATCTGACCAAGGTATAATGCTCTTGAATATTAAGTGTGTTCAACAGGGTAAGTGAGTAACTAGGTAAGGATTCAATGTTGTACAGTAATATGTAAATATATGCACTGTTAGGTGCATGTCTAAGTATTTGTCTCTTGTGGATAAAAATCAAAGGACCATTTATAGTGTGTCATTATGGGTGAAAGCCCATTATCCAGTATCAGTTACTATACTAAAAAAAGTTATAGGGATAGGGGAAAATTTAAAACATTCCTTCAGAATAGGGGCAGCCACTGCTTATATAAATTGGTTGTTCTTTAGAAATAATGGTGGGTAGCAGGTAGATGAAGATTTCAAGGGTACAAGTGACCAGGGTCCACTAGAACTTTTCTAAATCCTCGATTAGTTTGCAAGTCAAAAAACATTTATATTTGTTTTTTAATTGTTCTACTTTGAACTATATAAAGATTACTGACTTTCATAAGATAAAATGGTTTTAATTTGTTTGAAGAGTGTATAATGCCACCACATTGTACTCTTACCAGGGACGTAGCAACAGGGGGGGCCTGCCCCCCCCTCACTTTTTTGCCAACAATACTTTCACTATTGAAAATGTTCATTGAAAGGCTGGTTGGCCCCCACTTTCTACTAAAGTAAAGTGAAGTAAAATAAAGGAAATATAGTATTGTAAGCTTAAAAGATGTTGAAAGGAATTGGTAGTGAAAAAAATGGAGGTATGCTCATTACAGTTGTGTTAGAATGTGCACATGAGAAATTGAGGCGTTATTTTTTTCATTGCCTCGAGGAAATAATTCCTAATTGCTAATAAACATAAAAGTCGCGAATGAAACTTTAAAAAAAAATTCTTGAAAACTTCTCCTAATGGTTGTTATAAGTTTCAATTTGAAAGCAATGCCAATGGAAAGATCCTGTTTTTGCTTTGATAGAGATGTTGCTAAACATGACCTTGGTTTGTGTGTTTGCCAGAAATTATACAGGATATATCCTCCTTTTGGTTCTAAGATGGTGTTTACCTTTCTGAAAGGTGAAGGGGGGATTCCGGATAAAGTTAGAATCAGTCCATCTGGAAGGAAATAAGTAGGGAAGTTCAGTATTGTCGTGGGTCAGTTGACTTGGTGCTCCCTTGTGGGGTGACAGGAAACGTTTACTCGTTTGCAGCCATTAGGCGTATGCGCACACTAAAGTCAACTGATATGTTAACTAAGTACTACGAGGGTTGTCAGGTAAAATCGTGGACAAGTTGTCTAGATTAAAAACTAATCAACACTGCTTTGCGAAATTTTTACTATACTTTAGTATACACTTTTTCAATAATTACAGCAAATTTCAATTAGTATGTGGTCAAATAAAAAAACATGACATTTAATGTCATAGATGGTATTGCCTGACGGATAATAACGTCCTAGGTTTTGTTCGGACGTCACGAACTTTCTACACCTTCTTCAAAATAATCTCCCCGTTGTCAATGCATTTCTGGTGCCTGCATATCCATTTGTTAAAAACATCTTGATACCACTGTGAATTTCAGTTCTTTTATGTTCTTATCTCATATTTTATTCATCGCGACTTTCAAAACGATGACCTCTCAAGTGGTCTTTCAACTTTGGAAAGTATGCAAAATCCAATGGGGCCAGATCCGGTGAGTACGGAGGATGCTCTATTCTTTGAAAACTTAACAAGTCCAGCTCAAATTCTGTGCGTTCTGACCGATGACTTGGGGCATTATCTTGGTGAAATACTATGTTTTCAAGATTCTCTGCAAGATATCGGCGCTTCTTGTGCATAGCGTGCAACAATTAAGTCCCGGCAAACTACCTGAAAATTAAAAAAAATCATTTTAAGCATTTTCATATAACAAACTAGAGGTACTGTGAGCGATGAGCTCACTAAATGATACCCCCCCCGCCTCCCATATGGTCATAACTGGTGAAAAAGTCCATGTTTTCCTGTGGCCGGGAAACCCAAAATATGAGTCGGATCAAAAAGTAAAATAGGAGGTGCACAATGGCAATATGTAATAAAGATTCTGTGAAAGTTGCATCAAATTTCATTCAGTGGTATGAGAGGAGTTGCGGATAAGAGATGGGTACCCCAAAGCGTAACAGACGGACGGACGGACAGACGTACAGACGGACGGACAAACCGATTACTATATACCCTTCCACTTTTCAAGCGGGGGGGGGGGGGGTATAATAATTAATTAAATTTGACTTATAAGTGGTAAAATATGTATAAACAACAGAATGAGGTAGTAATGATTTATAATAATATATATACATTGAAATGTTTTATTTTTATTATTATGATTAAATAGGTCCTTAAGAAATTTTTTAAAATTTAACATATACCAAAAATAGACATACCTTGCAATAGTAATTTGTGTTCACCGTACAGCCATTTTGCACCATATGAACCTAAATAACCTCGGATATATCCATAAAGGGCATTTGTCACATCACTTTTCCATAGACTTGGCAACTTTCGCTTTCTTAGGGGGCGGACTGTCCTGATTCTTCCAAACCATGGACATCCGCTCGTACTTTAGGTTCATAATAATGGACCCATGTCTCATCTGTTGTAATTATTCTGCTCAGAAAAGTTGGATCGGCCCTACAACGGTCCAGAAATTGCACTGATACTGAGACACGATTTGCCATCTGATCCTCAGTAAGCAAGCGAGGGACCCATCTCGCTTGCTTCTGAGGATCAGATGGCAAATCGTGTTCAAGCATCAGTGCAATTTTCTGAGAAAATCGTGTAGGGGCCGATCCAATTTTTCTGAGCAGAATAATTCAACAGATGAGACATCGGTCCATTATTATGAACCTGCGGGTAAGCGATATGCAGTGGTTTCGAAGATCGGACATCCGCCCCCTAAGAAAGCGAATGGGAAAAGTGGTGTGATCGTCTTTATGGATATATCCGAGGTTATTAGCTATATGATACAAAATGGCTGTACGGTGAACACAAATTACTATTGCAAGGTACTGTTATTTTTTGGTATATGTTAAATTTTAAAAAATTTCTTAAGGACCTATTTAATCATAATAATAAAAATAAAACATTTGGACATGTATATATATTATTATAAATCATTACTACCTCATTCTGTTGTTTATACATATTTTACCACTTTATAGTCAAAAATCAAATTAATTATTATACCCCCCCGCTTTTGAAAAGCGAGAGGGTAGTATGCATAATCGTTCATTCCATCCGTCTGTACGTCTGCTCGTGCGTCCATCCTTACACTTTTTGAGTCTCCATCTCTTATCCGCAACTATTCTGCATACCACTGAATGAAATTTAAATACAAGTTCACAGAATCTTTATTACATATTGCCATTGTGGCCTGCCTTATTTACTTTTTAATCCGACTCATATTTTGGTTTTCCCGGCCACAGAAACGTGGACTTTTTCACCAGTTATGAGCCCTGTGGGAGGCGGGGGGGTATCATTTAGTGAGCTCATCGCTCACAGTACCTCTAGTTTGTTATATGAAAATGCTTGAAAATGATTTTTTTAATTTTCAGTAGCTGCGGGACTTAATTGTTGCACGCTATCCGATATCTTGCAGAGGAGTCTTTTTTAAAACATAGTATTTCACCAAGATAATGCCCGAGTAGTAGATTCGCAGAACGCACAGAATTTGAGCTGGGCGGACTTGTTAAGTTTTCAAAGAATCAAGTATCCATACTCACCAGAATATCACATACTTCCAAAGTTGAAAGCCGCTTGAGAGGTCATGCGTTTTGAAAGTCGGCGATGAAATAAAATATCAATAAGAACATGGAAACTGAAATTGGCGGGTGTTATCAAGATGTTTTTAACGAATGGATATGCAGGCGCCGAAATGCATTGACAACGGGGGAGATTATTTTGAGAAGGTGTAGAAAGTTTCAGTAACGTGCAAAAACCTAGGACGTTATTATCCGTAGCAATGCCAGTCTGTGACCATTAAATGTCATGTT